AGGTGAGAAACACTGAGTGTTAAAACAATTGTAAAATTAACAGTCATGGACAAATTATGTCAATCATCACCTACGTATCATATTACAATGATAATGGTCAATTGCGATTTTAAAATGGAGTGGAAATCACTCAAATCTGTTTGGGTTAACTTCAAATTTATGTCATCATAACAATATTTTATTTCAAACACGCATAGGTTACAAAGGTATTTAAGATCACAGAAAGACGTTCCGGAACTTTTCTGGTAGACGAAGGAAAGACATTCCAGACTTTAAATTTATAGCATCGAGGACCGCGCTGGTGGCCGATGCAGTACCTTGCGTTGACTTCTGTTCCAGTGTTTAAGTGAACGCGTGCCTTGCTTTGTATGTGACTCACCGGTGAGCAGGATACTTCATATGTTGTTACTACTTCCTTGTGATTCATGGGTAATTTGTTTCGGCTAGGTAAATACAGAACCGAGTAAGATAACAAAATATGTCAAAGTAACAAAAACTCTCTTTTTCATTTCTTGTTTATTAACCTTTGAATTTATAAGAATGGAAGAGCACTAGTCTTTGTTCTCAGGCATGTAAACGGTTGGTGGTTGACCTTTACTCACGACTGGCGGCTTTACATGTAAACGTGGAGTATCGATTAGGATTGGGTGAGTGAGTTAATAGTTAACGTCAATATTTCAGCCATATTGTAGCGAGAAGAATTTTGACGTTGATCAAGAATGTGTGTATGTTATAAAACCTGTCGTCAAAGGACAGTAACACAACCAGACTATCACAGTTAGAATTAAAACTAGCATGTATTATAAAGTTAAAACTAATAGCACTTATTTGGGCAATAGATTGCCAACAACTGAAGGTAGATCACCATACTAGTGACCATGGGGACTTACAGTACATTTGCTACCTGCATGGACCCTAGCTGGATTTACATCCTCCCTTCAGCCGCTGACAATTGTACTGAATTTTTAGCCATCACGTAAAGCAACAAACATACTACGATTAAAAAATGTGGTAGATCAAAATTTACTTCGAATTTACTTTGGGATTTACGTATCCTCTCAGGAGGACAATAATTTTACAATACTTTAACCCCCTTTGAGGATACAACCACTAACAATCTAAGTTTCGTATTTAAACCAACAATACTTAACAAAACATCTATCTACAATACATATCAATCAAAATTTATCTCTTTTAAAACATCAACAATTAAATGACCGTTAACATTATCAAAAAGATCTTTAACCGTTGTTATACTGAAACATTTACCCCTTGTGATGGAAAAATCAACACAGTCAAGCAGGATATGATTGACAGTTATTCTTTCATCACAAGGCATAGAAAACGGAGGATCCTCGCCTTTCAATAAATGTTAATGCGTTGGCCAAATCTTGGCTGACAACCCAAGTAGGTGTAACCGATAGTTGGATTAATTGCATGTAATTCATTGATACCTACTTGAGTGTCCCACTTCTTTTGCGTTGGGTCATGGATATAAGCCCTTGTGACAGCTTTGTAATCGGAGTATGGAATAAGAAGTGATGTCACAGATTTGTTGAATGCTGCCTTAGCAGCAAATTCGGCCATTGTGTTACCGGAGATTCCAACAGGGCTAGGTAACCAACAGAGGACGATGTCGTATTGGCCAGTAGCCAGATCATTATATAATTCAATTATTTCGATTAAAAGTGGATGTTTGCAAGAGACCCATCTGTTAATAAGGATTTGTATGTATTAAATGTATTTTTTAATTGATTCAATTCTTGTTTATTTTATAATTCATTAGTTTCTGGGTTGTTGGTTTTTTTCAAGTAAGTGAGCGTTAGGTCAACTTGTGGCCTCACTAATTGGCAAGGAGAAGAAGAAAGAAGGCGGGAAGCAGATATATTTTGTAGCTCAATGCCAGCAGCAGAAAGGAAACGTTTTATTCTTATTCTTATAAAGAGGATTAAAAAACAGTTAGACTCGTTGGAATATAGTTTTGTTATACACTGCAAAGATAATTTCATACGGCGTTGTATAAGGGATGACTCATCGGCCTCGACGAAGAGATTGTCAACAGGAGAGGTTCTAAAAGACCCAAGACTAAGCCTTAGGCCTTGGTGGTCGAAAGAATCTAAAAGGCTGCTTTTGCAGACTCCACCATATACGATGGAGCCATAATCAAGTTTCGAGCGGACCAATGATTTATATAGGTGTAGAAGGGTTGCTTGATCCCCTCTCCCCACTTTGAATTTGAAACGACTTTCAACAAATCAAGTGCCTTCGGGCATATAGTTCTGAGATATTTGATATGGATGGGGAAGAAAAGTTAAATGGGAGTCGTAAATTAGACCCAAGATCTTGGCCTCCTTTACAACTTTGATGGGAGTGCCATTTAAAGCCGTTTTCAAGACACCATTTATTTATTTTGTTTAAACACAACTGCAGTTGCCGTTCTATAGCATGCATATTTTTACCACGACAAGATATACTAACATCATCCACAAAAAGTGCTCCATCGATTGAATCATTTAAAACTTTTGACAAGCTGTCGATCGTATTACTAAACAATGTGACAAAATACTGCCTAGTGGGACACCCTGGTCATAATGGTCAGACTGAGTTGAACCCACTCGGACTTGAAATTGCCAGTCCGTTAAAAACTGTGATATAAAAGAGGTAAACGACACCTTGGTGTGGTCCCACAAGGCCTAAAATTATTCAGTTAGGTAGGTACTGTTCATTAGGCTATGTGGGACTTCATGCCTCACTGGTTTAATGGGATTAGGGTGGATTATTCTGGACTGGTCCATTATTGACCACAGAAGGGGTGAATCATAAGAAACAACAAATATATGAGCTCAAATGACACCTTAAACCAAAGTCATGTAAATCTTTTAAATGCCAGGTGGTGTCGCACGCCTCCTCGAGATCAACGAATATCGATACTGCATGTTGTTTATTTACCATAGCATTTTAAAAAAGGATTCTAATGGTACCAAATGATCAATGGTACTTCAATTTTTCCTGAAACCACATTCGATATTTGTTATAAGGTTATTGGTTTCAAGATACCAAGCTAATCTATTATTTACCATTCGTTCCATGGTTTTACAGACACAGCTTGTTAAAGATGTGTGTCTGTAATTAGATGGTTCAGTAGGATCCCGGCTTTGGGATAGGGACTACAATGGATTTTGGAACGAACCATATTTGTTTGATCAAATATTTCCAAAAGGATGTCGGGAGATGAATCTGGCAAATGCTTCAAGAGCTGATAGTGAATATATTATCAGCCCCTGTTGCTGTATCCTGAGCTTGGTCAAGGGCAGTATGGAGCTCATGTAACGAAAATAATTCGTCATAATCTTCGCCATTATCCGATTTAAAATTCATTCTTTTCTCGGGGACATAATTTGACAAAGAAGAATGCTTGGCGAGAGTTTCACCAAGTTTACTCGGAATGGTCAGCTTTATCAGTTAGTAAACTGTCACCGTCCTTGATATGTTGAGCCTCTGCCTTTAATCCGTATCATATTCCACACCCACGCACCATGGAGTGCCAACATGGACGATGTTGCAGCGGGAGCCAGTCAACAACATCAGGGCTACAGGGATGTTATACTCTAGATATAAAAGCATGAAAAGCTGTAATGACTAAAAGAATAAATCGTTCGGTCCATGACACTTTCCCCAAGAAATACAGAATTCAGAGGTCCGTATATCCAGATTGACCCATGAGCCACCGCCGTCTGGCATAGGACTCTAGATTGAAATATATTAATAATTTGTACATTGAAATTTGAAACAACCAAGACCCAATAATAAAAATGTGCAAAAATATTTATCAGGCACAGGGCCTGGCGTGACCAGCCGAATGATAGAACCGGGCCCATTCTACCATCCGTCTGGGTGAAGTCAGGGTCAAAGGTGTGTTGGGTAAAGGAACGCTGTTCCTGGGACCAGTTCCCTCAACCGCCCTTCCTCCACTGACACAGGGGCGCAACCCACGGCAAACAGGTTGCCCAATTTGGTCGCCTCTTACGACCAGCCACGGGATGCTGTGGACACATTCTACCCTGGGTCCACACGGGGGAGGAGCTATTAGCGTTACCCAGCACTCACCACGAGGAGGTTGCTCTTCATGAGTGCCCGATTAGGGTGGATGGACAACAGTAAAGTTTTGTTATAATATGTAAGAAAAATATCATAATTGTTGAGCAGCCATCGATAACCATTAATATTTACTTTTTTAGAATTTCGTATGTATATATTTTATAGAAAGGTGTTTTAGTTTAATATTAACATAAATACTAGGGAGCGAATGGATTTAGTAACAGTATTTCAACCATATCCAGGCGTGAAAGAGATTCAAAGAGGATGCAGGAATATCGCCTAAAGGAATCTGGCATCTGTTAGGTATCAGCTTGAGTTTTCAAATATAATATTGTGTTTCCATCCGGTTTAATTGATGCCAACAAGTACAATTGGGAACATAATTGCAATTAAACCATTGATTTGAAGTGAAGTTCTTTTGTAGTTACAAGTTGGCATGAATTAATTTGCTCTTTTGTTAAAAAAAATATTTTTTAGTGATACTATGAACTATGGCGATGAGCATATACGTTTCCTTACATTCGTAATGGAAAATAACCGTTCCGTCCGTTAATATGTGCACCTTTTCAGGGTCAACAGCTGAGTATTCAATATAATATATAATGTACAAAGTTGCACTTCATGTTGAAATAGGTCGTCTAATTACTTGTTTTCAACACCTCTAGCTTTTTAACAAATATAAAAATCGGTTCTTTCCCTTCTTGTGATATGACTGTATTTGCCCCAATCCTAGTGATCAAAGCGTTCGCTCGTCATGCCGAAGGACTTTGTTTGATTGTCCCCATGGGTGCAATGTGTGAAGCCCATTTCTGGTGTCCCCCGTGATCTTACTTGAACATTGTTAAAGGCGGCGTGAAACCCAACTCACTCACTCACTCATTCACTCTTGAAACTCTTACAAATATGTCTTGTTCCATTTATTTTGTACAATCAGACCTCACATTTCAAAAACATGTACGCAAAGCAGACAAAAAAATCCTTGAACATTAAGACATTCTGCTGCTCTGTCCAAACAACACCATCACGTGTCAGACCGAGTTAACTTGGGTAAATTCAGATCAGCCTTTTACAATCACTACCAACATTTAGCCAAAGCATTTGACTTCAAAAACCCAAACGTGTTTGTGCGTTTAACAGAACATGAGGTAGTCAAACCAAGCGTTCAAATGGCAAGGTTGAAAGAACAAAACAAACGGCTGAAAGTTGGGAACTCCTCTTCTTCGGAAATACGCTTTCACATCGTTCACAATAACCATTAGTCGTTTGGATACGGAGGTGAGTCCATCATCACAGGAGAGAGGAAGAAGTGTTCCTTCCACACGTTCCCGAAGTAGTTCCGCCCCGATTGAGCTTCCATAACGCAATCAGCAATGTCCATCAGCAATGTGTCTCCAAGGACGTATCTTAATATACACAAGCCATTATTTCCTCCGGGTGATAAAGCAACTGGACTCGCTAATATTTTAGTTAGACAGGACTTTATTCAAAGTCGTGTACGTATAAATACAAATCTTGAAGTCCTTGCTATTCGCGTAAACCCAGTACATTGCATAAACTTTGTGCTCTTTATATATACCACCTTCACACGTCGCCAGTCCGAGCTTCAGAATCTGTATGACCAGCCAGCTTAGCCGTGCATCATCACAGACTATTTGAACGGGCACAACCCTCAGTGGGGAAGTACAGACGCAAACAATAAGAGGAAACTTTTGAAAACTTTATATCTCGTAACAATTTGTATGTGGAACATGATACAAAGAATAAAAGGCATATGTTCAAAATATACTGCTCAACATCTCGGTGATCGGTTAACAACTGACAGAGCTGACATTGCAAATAAACTTCGAGAAACACTAGCCAAGCATTTGTCACCGTCCAGTTATGGTCCTGAGTATCAAAAGTATCAGAAACAACACTAGAACAAATAGCTGAATAATACTTCTAACAAATTAGTTTCACTTTATGAGCTATATACCGCCTTTGAGTAGGTTTATAACACAGCAACAGGGATCATCGATCAGCTGAAGGAATTCAATCGATCTAGCTCTTCTTTTTAAGGATGTTCGATCAAATATCTCTAGTATGGTGGCCTATCTTTGACTGTTGGTGATCTATTGCCTCTTTTTAATTGTATCGTTAATTAATACTTTATTATTAAGATAGGCTATTGAAGCATTTACCTGAACCATAGCTCGATATTCTTTTTGAAATATTCGATCAAATATTTCTAGTATGGTGGTCTATCTTTGACTGCTGGTGATATCCTTTCCCTTTATCGTCTATTTTAATAGTTTATTACTATATAAATTGTCTTTGAGCTAGCTTTAACAAATATGTGATAATCTAGTTCTTAGTGTTCGTTAAGGACAGCATTTTATCAAGTTTTGTTACATTTAGCTATTTATATATAAATTTGTATATTGTATAAATTTGTATCGTCACGATCACGACATATTGACGATGTGACGTTAAATTTTAACTTACTCGCACACTTCGCTCAGTTCAAATACCATATGCTATATGGTCTCCTCCTTCTTCTTGTTACACGTTACCAACACCTGTTTGAACGTGGGAGACGCAGGGAAATATGAACAGCATCTGAGTTTGTCCATGTAGGTGCTGATGTAAGGTAGCCTGTACGGATCATCTGTTGTCTCTTGAGTGTCACGTGCTGCTTCTAAATTTCGTTTAGCCATCCCACGTTCCTCCTGTGTACCTGCAAGAGACAACAAGGGGTGAAGATAGCTGATGGCAGGTACTTGTAAACGTGAAACGCGAAAACTAGCATCTGTATATACAATTTTGCATACTTTAAATTGGTGAAAGTACTACAAGCCATTTTAGCCATTTAGATGAAAACATACCCTTGGCGTGATTTGTACTCTAGGGTTAGATATGATTAGTGATTATCAATAATTGGTAATTCATGTGATTATTGTCGCGGCCATGTATTATACTAATCACAATTAGGCTTATATCTTTCGTGTAAGATATTTTCCAAGCTGATCGTTCAGTTGATGTACGATATATAGTAATATACTGGGAGATGACGATAAGGATGAACCTACTATATTTGATGATCTTTAATTCAGGGAACAGTTTGGGAACACGTTCGTTTCATTGCTAGACGAATTATGAAGTTTACATAGATATTTAATTCAGCGTCGTTTATATATTCGTTGTCTCAGCAATTGACTAAAAGGCAGGTTCTGATTTAACAACACTGACTAGGCTCCTGTCAGTAACATTAAGTATTCAGTGCGCCGAAATCATCGATATTTTAATTGTCGATTAATTATTTCTCCTATGGGAAATGATGCTGACTGCGAACTACGGACTAATTATACCTGGAGCCAGATTGTCCAGGACACATCCCGAGAACATGGTCACGAACATGGGTGTCACCAGCAGCACTTCAAGCAACTGATCGAGTACTTCGTTGCCTGGCAACACAAAGACATATCTGATGAAACGGAAATGGAACAACTTACAGATTTAAACATGAAACTGGACACTATTCAGGGTGAACTTGTGTCTCGGAATCAAGATGTCACGTTACAGTGCTACATGTTTTCCTACGGATCCGTGAAGCAATAATCCCGACAAGATCAAAGAATAGTTCCTTTGTCACATCCACCCCACCCCCTCAAAGAGATCCTACCCGTTGCTTCTGAAATCGCCAATGACTACCTTGCGAGACTGAAGCAGAAAGTAACATTTAATACCCCGTCGTAACGATTATGCCCACTGGGTATTACCATAAAAATACTCCTTTGATCCGTGACTTGGCTGTTGCCGTAAGGTATTATATCCTTACGTCGTAATTCTCATATCGACTTCAACACGAACCTTCAAACACAACGCTTAGTGCGTGGCGGGTTGATATATGACAAACATACCCAACCAAGCTACTTCTTTGGTAGATGAGACAATACCTGTATTGATAGAGTTTTCGTTAGCGGCCATCCAGTCTGGCAGGAGGAGACCCAGAGAGAGCGATATCCCCAGGATTAGGAGGTTCCTGGAGGAAGACAGGTCGACTGCATTCGACATAGACACGCCCACTGCTGTCACTGTGCCCACTGCCACAAAGTTGACCCCGCCAACTACTGGGTCGGGGATGATTGTGAACACCGCCCCAACCTTGCCTACGACGCCCCCTATCATCAGAATCAAGGCCGCTGTCACAAACACACTCCGACTCGCAACCTGTAGATCAGAAAACGCTGTACATGTTTTAGAAAGAGCAAATTGAACAGTTGTAATTAATATTTTCCTTGATATGTTTTTGAATCCAGCTCACAACTTGAGTCCTTGTCGTCCACATAGTGGTATCAGGTATGTGGACACATGGTCTGAAATTGTGTCGTGACTGAGTTCTGGACAGAGGTGCCACCGATCATGACTGTCTCTGTTTAAGTGCCAGAACAGAGCCAGTGTGTAGTGAGTTTGGCGAATTACTCACTGCTATAGATCGGTTTTCTCACTAATACGATCTGTTGTGGCCAGGTGCTTTCATTGCTATTCACATTTGTAACTACTGGTGTTGATAGGCGCTTACATTGTACTCATTGACTATGATACTTCTTCAGAACTTGGATTACTGTTCATATTGTCAATCAATGGTTTTGTATCAGTGTTCATACTTTCAACATCTGTTTTTATGTGGTTTTTGCCAGAGAGACTGCCAACGATGGGTGTGATATTCCTTGGCGCATTAACCCAAGAACACCAAGAACCATGACTGGACGAAATTCCCACGTTTGGTTATATCGTGTATAGGGATCAATGACAAATTGATATGAATGACTCCCACACTTCAAACTGATTTGCCAGACACAAACTGTGTCACGTGGAAATGAAATCAACTCTTCAACTGACCTTAGTAACAGTGACCACCCCAAGGCTCTGTATGTACAAGATGCTTGAATACACCCCTCCCAGCATGCCGCTGATTGCAGAGCTTATACCGTCCACGGCTATCCCTCTATTCAAGGCGTGGGCCGGAGGGGGAGGTAACTCTACTACACTGGCCGTTGCAGAGTAAAAGCCTGGTACCTGGATGATATTAACTATCGTGATGATTAGCATGGCCGTGAAACCCGAGGAGCTTATGGTCGGCGTTCCGAACTGAACTGGAAAAATAAGAGTCATTTGTTAGCACTGCTGTAAATGGTTCGATTAAACGATCTTTTCCGATAATGACCATGGGTTTCCACGATTGAGACTTGCGTCACTTTGGTCTTTCCTCCAGATGTTCACTGAAACATCAGAAAGATCAATGCCAAATAAGGTGCCTATATGTAATTGCTGCTACACGGATCACACCCGTAGCAAATGCATACATATCAGTCAATTGTTCATTAGGGAAAGACTGGAACATATTGAACAAATTGCATCATTTTTGTAACTTCTGCGTCAAATTTGGACAATCATCCGTAAGTATACCACGACATGTTTAAAAAACTATTCTGGGGTCTAGAATGATGTAACTTTGATGAAACTACTTTATAACACCCCGGGGTAGAACTGGTCCGTAGCAGTCTATACTAGTTGGAGGCGGCTACTCGGTAATTTGGTTGATTGTGTGTCATCAAACTCGTGGACCGATGTTCACTAAATTACTCACTTTGCTTGCTGACTCTTTTATTTACATATATTTGCCGTATAGCAGGGATGTTGCTCCGCTAAATATATACATTCGATACAATGTGTGAAGCCCATTTCTGGTGGCGTCCCCCGCCGTGATATTGCTGGAGTATTGCTAAAAGCGGCGTAAAACCAAACTCGGTCAGTCAATCAGTCAGTCTTGTTGTAAGGACTAAATAAGATAAACTTCATGTTTCAATATCAACAGTATAATATAATTCCAGCTGAAGAGCAACGATGTTACCAAACTGGAGCTTACATGGCAGAGGGAAATAGAACCACGGAGCATTGTAGAGGGCGCTTGTTCTGACGTCAGTTCTAGCCATGTGACCATGGACAGTGGAGTTGCTAGACAACACATCTGTGACTGTTAGCACGTGACACAAACACCAAGACAGTCCGATTGCCAGAACAACCTGAAGACAGAAACAGGTTGTTTAACCACTACCCTTACTGTAGAAAAGGATTGGATCTTTAACAGCATATTAAAACTGATGTTTCGAGATTTTGACGAATGAATACACGATGACTCTACAATGTTTATATACATAGTGAAGTTCAAGCCAGTGTTAAGTTAACTTCACTGGTCATAAGCTTTATACTCACAGCATTCAGCTGAAACAGCGGATAGTGAGTCACGTGACATTTCTTCTTCCTGTTGTAGCCAGGAAAGGGGATACTGACCTTCGCCAGAAACATGGAAAACACCAGGACCAGCACGGTCGATCTGCGAAGACACCGGACATGAACATCAGTGTCAAGTGTTGAACACAAGTATCAAGTGTTGAACACAACTATCAAGTGTTGAACATAAGTATCAAGTGTTGAACAGAAGTATCAAGTGTTGAACAGACGTATCAAGTCTTGAACATAAGCATCAAGTGTTGAACAAAAGTATCAAGTGTTGCACATAAGCTTCAAGTGTTGAACACAAGTATCAAGTGTTGAACACAAGTATCAAGTGTTGAACACAAGTATCAAGTGTTGCACATAAGCATCAAGTGTTGAACACAAGTATCAGGTGTTGAACACTACTATCAAGTGTTGAACACAAGTATCAAGTGTTGAACACAAGTATCAAGTGTTGAACACAACTATCAAGTGTTGAACATAAGTATCAAGTTTTGAACAAAAGTAGCAAGTCTTGAACACAAGTATCAAGTGTTGCACATAAGCATCAAGTGCTGAACACAACTATCAAGTGTTGAACATAAGTATCAAGTGTTGAACACAAGTATCAAGTGTTGAACAGAAGTATCAAGTGTTGCACATAAGCATCGAGTGTTGAACACAATCAAGTGTTGAACACAAGTATCCAGTATCGCACATAAGTATCAAGTGTTGAACACAAGTATCAAGTGCTGAACACAAGTATCAAGTGTTGCACATAAGCATCAAGTGTTGAACACAAGTATCAAGTGTTGAACACAAGTATCAAGTGTTGAACAGAAGTATCAAGTGTTGAACAGACGTATCAAATCTTGAACATAAGCATCAAGTGTTGAACACAACTATCAAGTGTTGCACATAAGCTTCAAGTGTTGAACACAAGTATCAAGTGTTGCACATGAGCATCAAGTGTTGAACACAAGTATCAAGTGTTGAACATAAGTATCAAGTTTTGAACAAAAGTATCAAGTCTTGAACACAAGTATCAAGTGTTGCACATAAGCATCAAGTGCTGAACACAACTATCAAGTGTTGAACAAAAGTATCAAGTTTTGAACACAAGTATCAAGTCTTGAACACAAGTATCAAGTGTTGCACTGAACATCAAGTCTTGAACACAAGTATCAAGTGTTGAACACAAGTATCAAGTGTTGAACAGAAGTATCAAGTGTTGAACAGAAGTATCAAGTCTTGAACACAAGTATCAAGTCTTGAACACAACTATCAAGTGTTGAACACAACTATCAAGTGTTGAACATAAGTATCAAGTTTTGAGCAAAAGTATCCAGTCTTGAACACAAGTATCAAGTGTTGAACATAAGTATCAAGTGTTGCACATAAGCATCGAGTGTTGAACACAAGTATCCAGTATCGCACATAAGTATCAAGTGTTGAACACAAGTATCAAGTGCTGAACACAAGTATCAAGTGTTGCACATAAGCATCAAGTGTTGAACACAAGTATCAAGTGTTGAACACAAGTATCAAGTGTTGAACAGAAGTATCAAGTGTTGAACAGACGTATCAAATCTTGAACATAAGCATCAAGTGTTGAACACAACTATCAAGTGTTGCACATAAGCTTCAAGTGTTGAACACAAGTATCAAGTGTTGCACATAAGCTTCAAGTGTTGAACACAAGTATCAAGTGTTGAACATAAGTATCAAGTTTTGAACAAAGGTATCAAGTCTCGAACACAAGTATCAAGTGTTGCACATAAGCATCAAGTGCTGAACACAACTATCAAGTGTTGAACATAAGTATCAAGTGTTGAACACAACTATCAAGTGTTGAACACAAGTATCAAGTGTTGCACTGAACATCAAGTCTTGAACACAAGTATCAAGTGTTGAACACAAGTATCAAGTGTTGAACATAAGTATCAAGTGTTGAACAGAAGTATCAAGTGTTGAACACAAGTATCAAGTCTTGAACACAAGTATCAAGTCTTGAACACCAGTATCAAGTGTTGAACATAAGTATCAAGTTTCGATGTATTCATGTTTATTATGGCATTCACCATGACTGTATACAATAATAATAATACCATCCCGGACCGCCTAAGCACAGATCCCTAACACCTCTTACTCATCTCCTTTACATGGATGACATCGAGCTTTATACTCACAGCAGTATCAGCAGATACCAATCTGAAAGAGCAGGTTCTCCTTGTCGAGTCCTTTTCTAATGATCTTGGCATGACATTTGGACTCGACAAATGTAATACTCTCCATTTGTAACCCGGCAAGGTAACTAATGATGGATCTGTCAAGTTAAAGGGGGGTGAGGGTGGGGTGGCGGGGAGTTATTGAGCATCTTGTGGAAGATCAGGCCTACACCTATCAAATTCGAGACAAGCTCCAGAATGCCCAAATTCAAGAAAAACTTCGGCTGAGTATAAATCTCGCTTAAAGAGAATCTGGAGCTCGGAGCTAACTGCTCGAAACAAAGTCAAAGCCACCAATACCTTTGCTGTGCCAGACCTTTCCTATTCCTTTGGATTAGTTGTTTGGACAAAACAACACATCCACAGTCTTGACCGCCTGACCAGAAGGATCTTGTCTGATAACAGAGCCCACCACCCTCATTCCTCTCTTAATCGTTTATATATGCCAATCAGATCGGGAGGTCGGGGTCGGATTAATGTGGAGGCTCTTCATGACAGAATTTCATTGTGTACTTTTACGCATATGTATTTTTCGGATGATCCTCTGGTGATGCATGTCAAGACTCATGATGTCCTTTTTGATAAAGCCAATGAATTTTTGAAATATCATTGAATTTTCTGTCCCTTTTGACAGCAACCATTCTCTTCCCACAGAGGTTACTCCTGTCATATCTTCCTACGTAACCTCTGTTCTAATACGGCCCTTTCAGGGTGTGAGCGTTCAAGACTCGTGATTGGAGGCAATCAGATTTAGTTGTGCAATCAGCGACGTTGTTTCAAAAGTGATCATTCGCCAGGCTTGGGTAATTTCCGCATGCATCGGGAAAACTAGAACCTCTTCCCGAGCGCGATGCACAAACGTTTCTTCTAGACAGAACTCAGTCATGTAATGGCGTCTCCATCGCCCTCGTTGACAACGAACAAGCTCGCCATTAAATGTCTCGTGTGTCACGACAAGTCCCCGGCAGAAGAGGGATATTTGTGGCCCCACATTTGCTTGTATTAGTCAAGTTGAGCAAGTGTTTGGAAGAAATATTAACAAGAATCAGGGATTGGGATGTAAATTTGTCTGCCTCTCATCATAAATGATAGCGATGATCGTTTTGGCTTCACTGATACATGGGAGAATCTCGTAAGTTAGGGACTTGCCACTACCAGTTTTAGTCCCGACAAACACATCTTGTCTATTAATTCCTGCACTCTCTATTGCTAGTTTCTGATTTTCAGTTAAACATGAAATACCGAATCTTTCCTTCGCACGTTGATCAACTAACACCATGGAGGCCGCCATATTGGATCTAAGTCTATTTAACACGTGTTCTGATTGGATAGAAAGAAGGGAGATAATTTGTGTTGCGATATTTTGCCGCTAGGGGATTTTACGAGGACCGGGAAATATGGCCGTATTAGAACAGAGGTTACGTAGGAAGATATGACAGGAGTAACCTCTGTGGGAAGAGAATGGACAGCAACGTGATTGGCAAGTTTCAGGAGAAGCATTCTAAATATGCGGACCTCGCCTTTGAAATGTCTCGCTTGCATCTCATGTACACTGTCGTCAGGCACCCGATTGTTCTATGTGCCCTTAGTTTGGTACCCGCGTTCTCCACCGGGAGCACAGCCCTTCTGACACTCTGGGTAAAGCAGAAGGCTGCAGTGTTGTGGAGTCTACATATTCTCCGGAATGTCCTTGGTGGGTTCGACTAGGCAGCCTTTTCCTGGGAGAAGTCCCATTCGCTGTGCGGGGCTGCGTGTGGAGGGGGCAAGGGCCCTGACCTGATGGTGAGCCTTGCCATCCTGACCCGAACCCTCTCTGCTGCATTTTCATCTTAATCTGTAAAACATAATAATAATCATTGAGCATAGGCAATGTCAAAGAGATGTGCTTTGAGCCCTTTTCGTATTCCTCTCTTGACATCACCATGTATACGTGTTGTTATATGTTATATCCGAAATGATACGGCTTCAGATCACCACACTGCAAAAACATCGACAATTGGTATGTTAAAACTGGGTAAATGCGTGACTTTTACATCCGCTTCAATAAGATATTAAAATGAATTACACATAAGAGCTTGCGAGCTTTGACTTTCAAACGTGTTAAAATTTGTTTTACCATCTTTGAAATACGGTAACAGAACCTTTGTGCCATAAGTCGAACTAAGTACTGTTTGATCACCTACAACCTGTTCAAGCACAACGTGTTCTTACTTATTTATTATCTATGACTTTTGAGTTCTGTTTTATTAAGCAGTAAATGTTGTGCTACAAAATACAGACCTTTTGCTGAACTAATTGCATATTTTCGGTGTTTTACAAGGGCTTGTATCCTTACAAACGAACTGGTGAACAAATTTAATTGACCCCGTGTATTCACTGACTGCCATCCATATCTGTTTCGTTGATATGTGTTTCTCATCACCGATCTCAACCAGGTAAACAGCTGTTGGGCAAACCATAAATAACTATTGTTCCATTATTGAAACTAAATTAACGCAATTTTAACTTTCAGAAGACGGTAATAATCTTTAAATTAACTTAGATATAGTCTCTGTCCCCAGGAAGCAATACGTCAAGAAATACTACTTCGCAAAAGTGACCTGTATATTTTATGAGTGTGTCATGATAGGTTTATTTTGTATCAATCGAGGTGCGAATTGAGGTAGGAAAACATTTCACTATTGCACGTCGAATGAACATTTATGGCAAGCAGGAGATGCGAGACAAAGACAACTAAAGACTTTGGTTCACTTTGCCTAGTGTTCTTATTTCAAATTGGCATCATCTACCGACACAGCGGATACCTGGCTAAGAAGGCTATTCCCCAGTGTTGTTCTCACAGTGGTATCATCTACTACCTGGCTACTTACAAGCTGGCTATTCCCCAGTGTTGTTCACACAGTGGTATCCTTTACTACATGTCTACTTACAAGCTGGCTATTCCCCAGTGTTGTTCAAACAGTGGCATCATGTAGTACCTGTCTACTTACAAGCTGGCTATTCCCCAGTGTTGTTCACACAGTGGTATCATGTACTACCTGTCTACTTACAAGCTGGCTATTCCCCAGTGTTGTTCACACAGTGGTATCCATGTACTACCTGTCTACTTACAAGCTGGCTATTCCCCAGTGTTGTTCACACAGTGGTATCATGTACTACCTGACTACTTACAAGCTGGCTATTCCCAAGTGTTGTTCACACAGTGGTATCATGTACTACCTGTCTACTTACAAGCTGGCTATTCCCCAAAGTTGTTCACACAGTGGTTTCATGTACTACCTGACTACTTACAAGCTGGCTATTCCCCAGTGTTGTTCACACAGTGGTATCATGCACTACCTGTCTACTTACAAGCTGGCTATTCCCCAAAGTTGTTCACACAGTGGCATTTTGCACTACCTGACTACTTACAAGCTGGCTATTCCCCAGTGTTGTTCACACAGTGGTATCATGTACTACCTGACTACTTACAAGCTGGCTATTCCCCAGTGTTGTTCACACGGTGGTATCATGTACTACCTGACTACTTACAAGCTGGCTATTCCCCAGTGTTGTTCACACAGTGGCATCATGTACTACCTGTCTACTTACAAGCTGGCTATTCCCCAAAGTTGTTCACACAGTGGCATTTTGCACTACCTGTCTACTTACAAGCTGGCTATTCCCCAGTGTTGTTCACACAGTGGTATCATGTACTACCTGACTACTTACAAGCTGGCTATTCCCCAGTGTTGTTCACACAGTGGTTTCATGTACTACCTGACTACTTACAAGCTGGCTATTCCCCAAAGTTGTTCACACAGTGGCATTTTGCACTACCTGTCTACTTACAAGCTGGCCATTCCCCAAAGTTGTTCACACAGTGGCATTTTGCACTACCTGACTACTTACAAGCTGGTTATTCCCCAGTGTTGTTCACACAGCGGTATCATGTACTACCTGACTACTTACAAGCTGGCTATTCCCCAGTGTTGTTCACACAGTGGTATCATGTACTACCTGACTCCTTACAAGCTGGCTATTCCCCAGTGTTGTTCACACAGTGGTATCATGTACTACCTGGCTACTTACAAGCTGGCTATTCCCCAGTGTTGTTCACACAGTGGTATCATGTACTACCTGACTACTTACAAGCTGGCTATTCCCCAGTGTTGTTCACACAGCGGTATCATGTACTACCTGTCTACTTACAAGCTGGCTATTCCCCAGTGTTGTTCACACAGTGGTATCATGTACTACCTGGCTACTTACAAGCTGACTATTCCCCAGTGTTGTTCACACAGTGGCATCATGTACTACCTGACTACTTACAAGCTGGCTATTCCCCAGTGTTGTTCACACAGTGGTATCATGTACTACCTGTCTACTTACAAGCTGGCTATTCCCCAGTGTTGTTCACACAGTGGCATCATGTACTACCTGTCTACTTACAAGCTGGCTATTCCCCAGTGTTGTTCACACAGTGGTATCATGTACTACCTGTCTACTTACAAGCTGGATATTCCCCAGTGTTGTTCACACAGTGGTATCATGTACTACCTGACTACTTACAAGCTGGCTATTCCCCAGTGTTGTTCACACAGTGGTATCATGTACTACCTGACTACTTACAAGCTGGCTATTCCCCAGTGTTGTTCACACGGTGGTATCATCTACTACCTGTATACTTACAAACTGGCTATTCCCCAGTGTTGTTCACACAGTGGTATCATGTACTACCTGTCTACTTACAAGCTGGCTATTCCCCAGTGTTGTTCACACAGTGGTATCATGTACTACCTGGCTACTTACAAGCTGGCTATTCCCCAGTGTTGTTCACACAGTGGCATCATGTACTACCTGTCTACTTACAAGCTGGCTATTCCCCAGTGTTGTTCACACAGTGGTATCATGTACTACCTGACTACTTACAAGCTGGCTATTCCCCAGTGTTGTTCACACAGTGGCATCATGTACTACCTGACTACTTACAAGCTGGCTATTCCCCAGTGTTGTTCACACAGTGGTATCATGTACTACCTGTTTACTTACAAGCTGGATATTCCCCAGTGTTGTTCACACAGCGGTATCATGTTCTACCTGACTACTTACAAGCTGGCTATTCCCCAGTGTTGTTCACACAGTGGTATCATGTATTACTACCTGGCTACTTACAAGCTGGCTATTCCCCAGTGTTGTTCACACAGTGGTGGTATCATGTACTACCTTTACTTCTGCCTGATAAGTCTACTTACAAGCTGGCTATTCCCCAGTGTTGTTCACACAGTGGCATCATGCACTACCTGTCTACTTACAAGCTGGCTATTCCCCAGTGTTGTTCACACAGTGGTATCATGTACTACCTGACTACTTACAAGCTGGCTATTCCCCAGTGTTGTTCACACAGTGGTATCATGTACTACCTGACTACTTACAAGCTGGCTATTCCCCAGTGTTGTTGACACAGTGGTATCATGTACTACCTGTCTACTTACAAGCTGGCTATTCCCCAGTGTTGTTCACACAGCGGTACAACATAACGGCCGAGCGTTAACCCGAGGACCAGTACAGTTGGGGCCACTGTCAGAGGACCGATGAACCGGAGGAAGAAGCCCAGAATTCCCGTTATTCCCAGAAGGAACTGAACTCCTGAAGCCAGCATTAGATCGCCCTGGATCTGATGTATAATAAATGGTAATTAGTCCCATTGTTTCACTAGATTTATTCTTATTTCTGGATTTTGTGTTTCTGATACTGAGTCAGTTTGTTTTCGAATTTGTCACAAGTTCATTTCACGTGGACGTAATTATATACGCACATACGAAGGCGGATATTCTCTTCTGTAAAAGGTGCACTTGGCGATAATAATATGTGTAATCTCGTTACGCACATATATTTTAAAAACTGAATTAAGTGCTTTTACAAAATAAAGATTTCACATTAACTAAACTTTAACGAAGCAACGAAGATATAATCTTTTACCTCTCTCATTCGGATCTTCCAGCTGATAGATGAGGTGACATTGGCAGATCCATCCATGCCCAGAGATTCTGTTGTGAGAGATGACAAATAAACAAATCAACGGTATGTATGTAAGGACAACAAGGACCTTATGCATGGAGCGGAGGGTACGGTGTACAATTCAAATACCAAAAATACGTTAAAATATGGTACCTTTTACTCTGGCGCTTTTTTTTATAAGAATACGAAACAAGGTTTAGACGGCTTTGAGTCTGTACTCGAAGTGGTATATTCATGCTAAATTGTGGCATGGTATCTGATCCCTGCAAACCGGAATTAGTCCGAGCTGGTACAAACAGCAACACACGCACGTGCATTTACGTCACTAACTTAATGCATTGGTTTTAATCAGCGACATTACATATTAGCAATATTGCCCTCTCCATATTCATTAGACGTACTAAAAGCAGATTGTATAGTATGAGTGTTCATGAATCTGTATGACGTTGTGATCATACTAGGTGTTCAAGCAATCAAACGGTGCTCCCAACACCATCGGTATTTGATAGTGATTCATACACATGAGATGCACTGCACATAATTTTCGTCAGTAAAGCGTAAATGTGGACATGCCCTCCCCATCTCTACTATAAAAAGTTTTGAAATCTTCGCTATGGCCTTGAATGCTGTAACCCTATTTGAAATATTGACACTCTTCTAAATGTCACCGGATTATTATCCACGAATCCACGACTTTTCTCGGTTTCCTCTATTTCCATTTACGTACGCTTCTTCTCCTCTCTCTCTCTCTCTCTCTCTCTCTCTGTCTCTCTCTCTCTCTCTCTCTCTCTCTCTCTCTCTCTCTCTCTCTCTCTCTCTCTCTCTCTCTCTCTCTCTCTCTCTCTCTCTCTCTCTCTCTCTCTCTCTCTCTCTCTCGTCTTACCAGCAGTATCTCGTCCACATACCTCAGTTGTGGCGAAGACACTTTCAAATGTCACTTTCTGTTTTTCGTTCCTCGTCTGAGCATCAACAGACATTGCTGATATATATTTACAGGCATGTCCCTTTATCTGTCTACTTTCATTAAGGTATGTTAATATATTCATTAAAGGGGCGGTGGGGTAGCCTAGTGGGTAAAGCGTTCGCTCGTCACGCCGAAGGCCCGGGTTCGATTCCCCACATGGGTAAAATGTGTGAAGCCCATTTCTGGTGTCCCCCGCCGTGATATTGCTGGAATAGTGCTAAAAGCGGCGTAAAATCAAACTCACTCACTCACTAATATTCATTACAAAAGTTATCGCGATTGTAGAACGTCAATAGTAAAATTTTAGTGTAATATATTGCGAATACTCTAATATTCTATCCCAAGGACTTGTGTTGCACGATATCACCAGTTGAAACGCCAATTTAAAGCACCATCCCGTAAGTAAGATTGTGAGTGAAAGTTATGTTCAAGTTCCATGTATAAAGTAAATGGAAACTCGACTGAAGTTAAATGCAGTGTTCCGTGGATAATCAAAGGCTTGAACTCCGGGAATTTTGCTCGACACAAAGGAAAACGTTACTGTAAAGTCATCCCTCGTGTCATACAGTTTCGTGGGGAGTATTTTGTCACTCTGAATCTGTATGCATAGATCTACATAATTATGAAACAGACGAACTGAGTCGTCTTCGCTGGTCTCCTTTTCACTTGTACGTTTGTGTACATCAGGGGAAGATAAGTTTTGTTTGTTTGTTGTTTAACGCCGCACTCAGCAATACTACAGCTATATAACGGCTGTCTGTAAATAATCGTGCCTGGACCAGACAATCCAGTGATCAACAGCATGAGCATTGCTCTGTGCAATTGGGATAAGATGACGTGTCCATCATATCAGCAAGCCTGACCACCCGATCCTGCTAGTCGCCTCTTCCGACAACCATGGGTTGCTGAAAAACAATTCTAACCCGGATCTTTACGGGAGGGAAAGAAAGAAACTGTGGTTATTTCAGGATATCAGGTTATCGATATACCTGAAGTTCAGTTTTAACTGCGTCAACAAATTGTTTTGTTTTGACGTATCGAACAGAAATTCCAATTGATATACCTGATACAATTTTAACCTATACTTCGAGACAGTACTATAAATATTCTATGAAGTCTTTCTCTACCTACCATCACTCCATTTAGGGGCATTGAGAATGGCAGCTATTGCAATCAGATATGACCCGCTAGGACCGTGAATGACCGGTAGTCTACAACACAATGGTCATTTTATTGAACTAAAAATCTAAAACACATCAATGAGACTCTGGTTCGCTTAATGATAAACAAAATTACCGGAACAACCAGATTTTGCATACACATCTCTGAATTCGTCGAAACTTGGTGACCTCTCCCAAATTAAGGAGAGCACAGGGTGGGGGTTACTTTACAGCGCTAACAATCGCTTTGAGCCCGAAGGCCGTGCTGGTCTATGTTGTGAGAACGTACGTACATTGCGGGATGACTGGGCCTAAATACCACTGGCTCGACGAAGCACGAAACTGGGTTACATAAATGCGATTCAGGCCAAAGGTGGCCACAAGAGGTACTGACGTTAACGCTACCATATCCAGTTGGGTGACATTTATGCTTGTCAGATTTGAAGACGGACACTGTGATTTTCAACATGCCAAGTCTGACATTCATAGATATTTGTTTCCGGCAAGATATATCATTTGAAATACAGACGAAGTTTGTAATTATATTATTTCCACCTGTTGGCTTCTTTTGGTTGAAGAGTATTCACACTGTCCTAATTCCAACATTTTTTTACATACAAAATAGAGTTGAAACAAAATCTTAGATAAAAAAAAGCATTGTATTTTCTGAAACATGATAATCCAGGTTTTTCAGATGCCTTGATTTTCGAATGTTCGTTGGGGTAGCTGTTATTGTAATTAGGTAACAATCGTGTTTCAAGATCTGTTTTTCGCATCCAAAATATGTACCATTGTGAATTGGGGTTAAATGTTCAGAAAATGACATCATCCACCAGAAAAGTTCTGAGGTATTGATTGTTACATTGTTACAAATTCTAAAAATAACTCTTACCCAATAGTCTAGTTTCGTTTCTATATTTCTAGTAAGCTAATGGTGAAGCAACACATTAATCATTTAAATTTGCTTGATGAAGTCATATATATCAGTTCAAAAACACGTGTACTTGATGAATAAGGTGTAATGCAGATGAAGGATATTTACAAATTATGTTTAAATGTTGTAGTGAGTGAGTTAAAATATAAATTCACGTCGACAGTGTTTCAGCCATATCTTGAGTATGAGAGTTGTAGAATAATAAACATACTTAACTCATATTACTGTATCCAAATATAGATCTTGTTTATCACGATTTAGGTTAAGTTCCCATAGTTTAGAAATTGAAAGAGGACGTTACTATAACATTCCCCTGGAACAAAGAACATGCAAAATGTGTAACTTAAACGTAATTGAAAATGAATATCACTTCTTACTTATCTGTCCATCCTACATTGAATTAAGACGTAAATATCTTTTGTCGCAATTCTATGTTTTCCCCAATATACTAAAATTCAATTCGTTGTTATCATCCAAAAATGAAGACATTTCCTTGAATACTGCTAAGTATCTGTTTTATGCATTCGAAAAAAGGAAATCAATTTTGTCATATTAAGACTGTATATATTATACATGCTTTCATTGTTATCATTTTATTTCATGTCTACACCGATGAGGTGTTTTTGTACTCATAGGCCCGTGGCCTCATAGTATCAGAAATAAAGATTTGAATAAAAACAAACTTTGACAAAACTCAATACCTGTCGACAAACAACAGTAAAATAACTAGACTATCACGGATTTAGACATAAAACTAGCATGTTTCAAATGTTTTCTACTTTATTCATAGTGAGTATAAGATGGGAATCGTTTATTGCCAGTGCTTCTGCTCATAATGGTCTCGAGAAAATTTAAATACGTTTAAGCCTGAAAACATGAAATTTAAAATATTCGCATTTAGACATAATTTGTTGAAAGCACTACATACCGACACCCTATGCAGACCTGCAATAAACTGGCAATGCCACTTGTAAAAAGGGACAGACTCAGAATCTGGGACCTCACTTCCGTTAAATGACCAGCTCCGATCTGATTGGCGAGGAGGACTGCAGTGCTCAATGCACCGGAAATACTAACAATAGCTTCCTGAAACAGAAATGATACAAGGTCAGACAGAGCTATGTACCAGTGATATCAACTGTTGAATTCACGTGAAAACGTGAAGACATACCTCTTCTGGACTGCATTTCATATACGTTTATATACTCTCCCAAAAAAGAAACGCATATAGAAATGTCGACTGTCTTTTTATGTTTATTTTGAAACATCTTGTAGGCTTTATGAGTCAATGAAATATAGCGAACTTGCACACTGGGAATGCAGACTTATCCGTCTTTGGCACAAAATCGAGGAAAGTCAGTTTGAGTGTCACATGGAGAAGTGTGGTGGCGCTGAAGTCAATACCTCGTGTGACCACCGTGGACATCGAGAACTGCTCGGCATCGCCTCGGCATCGAACGAATAAGTCTCAGAATCTCGTGTTGCCCAATCGCAGCCCACTCTGCCTGTAGTGCCTGTGCGAGTTGCTGAAGTGTCTGGGGCTGGGGGTTACGGCGTAACTGGAGGAAGTATCTAGTGTGACGTGCTGTGTGGGGCCTGGCATTGTCCTGTTGAAACAACTCCCTCTGGCGATCAATGATTGGAAGGAGGTGTGGGCGTAGGATTTCGTCACAGAACCGTTGAGCTGTCAGGTTGCCCTGGATCATCACCAAATCACTTCTCCTACGGCAGCTGATCGCTCCCCACATCATAACACTGCCCCGGCCGAATCTGTCCACCTGGGGAACGCAAGCGTCGGCGAAACGTTCACGTCGACGTCTGTACACCCGCATTCTTCCATCGCGTCGTTCCAATAGAAATCGTGATTCATCACTGAACCAGATTCTACGCCAAATCGGTAGGTTCCAGGCCTGAACGTTGGTGCACCATTGAACTCGATGTCGACGATGTTGTTGTCGAAGCACAGGGCCAAAATAAGGTCTTCTAGCACGTAAACCAGCCTCTCTCAACCTGTTCCTGGAGGTCTGTGCAGAAAGCCTCCTCAATCCGGGTATTTGTCGAGAGGTACTGGTCGCCGTAGCTGTTCGATGACGCAGGTGATGTACCCGGATGTAGCGATCCTGCACCGCAGTGGTCGCTCGAGGTCGCCTACTACGAGGGGCATCTGCTACCGCATTCTGCCTGCGATATCTCTCCCAGAGCCGTGAAATGGTGCTTTGGTGAACATTCATGCGTCGGGCAACTGCACGTTGAGACTGGCCAGCTTCAAGCAAACCAATGGCGATATGACGGTTGGCTTCACTTAGATGTGGCATTTTGCGTTCGTCAACAATATTCCAAATACAGTGAATAATCGACAGACAGCGATCAAACTTTTATACCCATCATTGAGACTATCTGATCCCCAACTTTCACGTGCATTACATGTGAATTGTGTATTCTGTGACACTACACGCCGAAATTCAAAATCGTGCTGTTAAATACGGGTATTTTACGGATGGTGCGTTTTGTTGTGATGTTTGAAAACATAAACACCATAGGACTCATAAACAGAGCAAAACCTTTTGTTTAATTCATTGCTATATGAAATTGCTATTTTCATGGTGCGTTTCTTTTTTGGGAGAGTATACAACGAGAAACGTATAGCCGGGTCTTGCTACCATCAAACTCCATTGTCTTAAAAGTCAAAATAAGGGTGAAAATTACACGAGTGGGTCACTGATTGGCTATTATGACACCGAAAACAGTAAACATGTCCTCCATACCTCTTGCATACGCTCTGGAAAAAAGCCAGGCCTAGGGTGTTTATTCCTATCCAGAGTACATATACGTGAACAGACATTGTGTCTTCATCATACATTAAAGGAATCTTATAAAATTGTGTTTGTTTACGAGGTATAACTACCGTGCCGACGTGACTATTCATTGATTTGCGTTTGCCACAAGGACTGTGACCAGTATCTCATGCATGTGGTCCCGTCTTCCAGCTAAATGGCCTTCACATTTGTTGGCATAAGGGGCGTAGGTAGACCTTATAAATTTAACATTATTACAAGATGTCATTGCTATAATCAGTCTGATCAGTTTTCGTCAATAAAACACCTAAAAGGATAACATCTGGGGTTAGTAAAATACAGGTAGTTCAACACCATAAACGATACATCGAGGAATTTCAATTACCGATGTAAGATAATTCGAGTAACAATTCTATTTAGTGTTACACTATTGACCAGCAAATGACCTGGATTTTCTAGTAAATCCCATGTCGAAGTTGACTTATATACTTCGTTTACAAATGGTGTTAGTCAGGTGCTGTTGGAGGAGGATTGCTTACCGTTATTGAGAACGCCTGATGTCACTCATATTCAGCGATCCATACATATTTTCACTGTTAGTTTTGCCTCGTATATTCTTCTTACAACTCGGCTAAGATGAAGACAAACATACATACATACATACCTGTAATCCATGCAGCGGGAGAAAGATGAGGGAAGGCGATTTATCCACTGGGTAAAGAAACGTTTCTTGTCTGATTTCTGTCTGATTCTCTGAGTTCTCTTCTCCAGACGTCCGAGGTGCTGTCCTTGTGTCCGCCATGTTCTGCGGTAAGATGATGACTGTCATGCCTTGTGTGCGACACACGTTATATATTGCTATAGTTCGTTTGATTTCATTTGAGACCGATGAATTGCTCACTAACACAAAATGTAATAAATACAACCAAAAAAAGATTTCCACAGTCACATGAAATCGACAGACAAATTTTGGACACAGGGAAAAAAAAGTTGTTTAAACAAACGACCATTATTTTGTTGTGACGTTTCGCTATTTCTTACGAGGGGGGACCACTTGCTGGTAGAACAGCCAGGTGTGCGAGTTTGACACGTGAAATAAATATTATTTCACTACACACGCTTGTTGATTACCTGGCTTTTCTACAGCAAGTGGTTCCCATGCGAACACTCACAGTGGTAGCATCAAATCAGCACAAATGGTCGCTGCGACTGTATCGGTGAGGTGGCGGGTGTGTATACGGGTATCAAGTAAATAACGGAGCAATGCCACATGGGGCAAAGGTCTATGAATGGGTGAGAATTTAGTGCAACGCTGACGAAATGCGGGTCAAGGTGATGGGGCTTCTCGGTGTCATCTCGGACTTCGCACCGGTGTCATGTCTCTCGAACTCTTCAAAGACGGGGATCGCCTGGACTATAGTTTAAGTATCCTCTTTAATATTTCAAATCCATGTGTGACGAAAACGGGAAGCATAAACCTAATAAACATGTATGAGTTCTCGGCCAGCTCTCCTTGACAGTCTACCCTCATACATACTGAATAGAATGTCTCGGGAGATATCCACCTTGTGGTAGTTATGTTGCCTCTGTTTCGTCGTCGTTATCAACATCACCACCGCTACTGAGGACGTTTCACGATCCAAACTCAGACCTCGATTTCGCTTCAGATGCTAACCACTCGGCCCATATTTTGGACCTCCGGTGGTTATCATGACTGAGGTATCGGGTTTCGACTAATTTGGTCTTTTGTCAACATACACGTGTGGGGCAAAGCAAGTCACTCATAAAAGGGGTTGACGTTTGTGTCTTTGAATTTTGCATAAACCCTCTTCAGCTTTCCTTCCAATGAAGATCCGGGTCAGAATTTGTCTTCAGCGACCCATGCTTGTCAACCGATTCGACTAACGGGACCGGGTGGTCCGACACTCTGACTTGGTTGACAAACGCCATCGTATCCCAATTGCGTAGATTGATGCTCATGCTGTTGGTCACTGGATTGACTGGTCCAGATTCGATTATTTTGGAATCTCCAATGATCTTCTTCTTCAACCGCCGCCATAAAGCTGAAATATTGCTGAGCGTAAAGCTAAACTCAATTAATCAATCAATCCTGGATGGGATACAACCGCTTCAAAACCGTACCAAGACGTGTTCCAGGCCCCGATTTCTCGAAGCAAACTTAAGTCTGAGTTTTGACTTAAGTTCGAATTTGAGAAAACCCATTTCCCATGTTCAACTGAAATTGATATTAAACTCAAACATAGAAGACAATTTGAGTTTGGGGAATAGAATACTGACGTTGTTTGGGCTTTTTTATTTTAAAAATGCAGTTGGTTTAAAAATTCAGCTGTTTCAAATTGTCAAACTCAGTTTGAAATTTGAGTAAAAATGCAGTTGATTTAAAAATTCAGCTGTTTCAAATTGTCAAACTCAGTTTGAAATTAGAGTAAAAACTTAAGTTTGTTTCGAGAAATTGGGGCCAGATCTGTATCTGCCCTGTACACTATCCAAAAAATTCAGTAACACCTTTACCGAGAAGACTACGAGAGTATACAGAGAGGATGATTGTTACCATAATATTAAAAACGAATTGATTTAGAACGCTGAAGACCCCACTGGACGTATCAGTTTGCACGGTCCTATTACAATAATACATCAGCGAGCCGGTGTATACCCTTTCCAATTACACCTTGCCGAAGACTATATGTAGACAGGAGGATTGTTGACATGAATATTACACGAAATAGCGACAAGTGTGACCTAAAATACACTAGTTACAAAGTTGAAGATTTAAACATTAGACGCCTCAGCGGATCCGAACAGCTTGTTGTATTGTTCTGTTATAATGATATATTAGTACGGGCTTATATCACACAAAGAACCAGATCTTGTTGCGTCCTGACGTTAACAGAATTCACACGCAACTGTGATTGGACAAGAACAGAAGTGGGACTATGTCCCAGGCGCTATTATGCTGACTAATCTCACAAACATTTACCGTTGAAATATATACTATTACGAGTTCCATATAGTTTATATTATTAGATTGTTAAAAGACACGTGACATGGATGTCTTTCTGTGTCACCTGTAGACGTCTGGGATATTGTTCCTTTATGTGGCTATTGGGGGATGCATTCCTCCATCAAGATAGATGCCTGATGTTACTTTTGTCTGTTGTAATTGGTGATATTTGCATCTTTTTTTTCATTCATTTGAACAGAATCATTCCACTTCATATACATTATGGTTTGGAAGACATATAACACGAAGTCGTTGTTTTCACAAGCAGGCGTATATGACAGACTGATAGTTTATTCAAGTCTCACCATATGTACAGCAATATTATGAACAAGTAAAACATATACATATGTACATGTGTCAGTAATTTGGTTAAGTTAATTCCTTATCAACATAAGTACAATAGGGCACATGCATGAATAAATACAATCTAAATATTATCGGAGTATTGTAATTGACTCATTATTATAATTTACATCATCATAAGCAATCTTCTGAAAGGCATAAATTACCTCCCTTATTGAAATTATGCTGGGAAGTATTATGAAATGGTAGATGAACATATACTCATGCCTAAAATGGTTGTCAGCCCCTCCCCACCCCAAACCCACCCCCACACACACATACACTAATCCACACACCCTCTCCAATTAACAAAATTGAAAGGGGTGACAATCATTATTGGCATGAGTATATTTTAAAACCAGTTCGTTACAAAAACTGAAATATTAAAGGGTCATCAAAATGACAACCTATCCCGATTAATTCCAAGACGTTAACTGTTTTTTATCGACTTTGATTAAAGTGAGCATACGGCGTTAGACTTACGGGTGGCACAGCAGAGGTCATAGAATGTTTGGCATTTCCCTCTAAAGTGTTCTTCGGTCCACTACGAAATATTACAATTTTATTTTTTGATATATTTACAGTTTCCATTTTTTGCAATATTATGACAGGTACCTAAAGAATTTGTAAGCCATCATTAATCAAAACAGTATCGTCTGCATAAAGAACAAATTAAAAAACTTAATACCTTGTGAAGAATGAGGACTATTTTTATGGATATACAACTTCTTTATTCTGTATAGGCAACGTTTTGACATAGATTCTAATGTCGTTGTCAAGCAAATGGTGACAGTGTGGCCAATTATCTTCATCATGTAAAACAAAGTTTAACTAGGAGACTAAAGATGAATTTCGATTGTGCGCAGAATGAATGTTTCAAAATATATAACTTTTAGGGTTTAGTACAGCATATATTTGTAACTGGTTCAGTTTTCTTGTCATCGCTTACTGGTTTATTTGTCGTATGCATTGAAAAACTAACTGGACAATGTTCATCAAAATGTCCATCCGGGTACACACCGTGGTAAAGCAACAACGTATCACCCTTTAGCCTTTACATGTATTCTTCCTAACCAACTTTCGTTTTCCATTGCAGATGAATAAATTAAAGTATTTATAAATATCTACAAGTTTATTACCACAATTACTAATTATTGGTTTATCTTGAGTGGTGCGGATTGCCATGTCTCCATGTAAACCGCGAATGAACTGTTTGAGAGGCATTCTAAACGTTGTGAGCAATAGGAATGACAAGTCTTTATGGCTGATCAACATGACCAACCTTATGCTTGAAAACGTATAATTCCTATATACTTACTATACTTCGAGTCTTCGTGAGGAAAAAGGCAACAAGATATCATGTTGATCAGTTCCTTTGTCAATTCAAACCACATATCAAAATAACTGACGTTGTCAAGGAGAGTAACATGTCGACTATTATAATCCTTCACCAATAAACATATTTCCCAACACCACCTTTTACGTTTCGTTCTGTGTTTAATATAATTTATGACCTTCAATTTTGATGTCGTCAAACTCATCAGTCATTGTTAATTGGCACCTGTGCTATATTAATTCAAGGAACTGGAGGTCTTGGAAGACCAATAACATGTATATGGTAAGTAGGCGGAGTAGGTAATCCCCAGAATCCCCAGTCCCATTTAGTCTTGACCATGTCGTTTAGGGTCGTATACACGGTTGAGGGACCTGTATTTCAACGAGTGTTGAATCGCAGGACTCAAGCGGGTTACATATCACAGTGTACACCGCTCTGGAATTTGTGGACGTCCTGCACCAACAGTTCCGTATGTCTCCTGGATTCGCTTATGACAAGTTTCTCAATGGCATTGTGTGTATTCAGATACTGGTCGTTTATAAATTACTACTCAAACTGAATGTATAACGTCCAGGCTGTTGAATAACCCGATTATCCAACGATTTATTTGGGGGCAAACTGAACAAGATCTTCTCAAACCAGGCGTTCAAAGGGAAAGGACAGACAAAATCAATGGCTGAAAGCTGGGAACCCCTCCTCGGTAATAACCGTTCACAACACGTTTAGTCCTTTGGATATGGAGGGGGACTCCTTCATCACAGGAAAGAGGAAGAAGTGTCCCTCACGATCCCGAAAACTTATAAATACAGATAGATTGTAACTGAGGCAGTACAAGAATCACGAGCCATTTTCTCCTCCGGGGAAAATAAATTATGTTGTATGTGCTCTTTGTATATACAATGTTCACATGCCCTTCGTCAATCCGAGCTTCAGAATCTGTATGACCAGAGAGCTAAGCCCTGCATCATCATAGGCGATTTAAACGGATATAACCCTCAGCGGGGAAGTACAGGCACAAACAATAAGGGGGAACTAATTGAATATTGTATTTTGTAACAATTTATGTGTGGAACCTAATACAAAGAATAAACGACAAAGGTTCAAAATCTACTGTTCATCATCTCAATTACCTGATAGAGCTGACATTGCAAATAAACATGGAGTAACACTAGACAAGCAGTTTCCACTGTCCAATTGTGGTCCTGAGTATCAAAGGTATCAGAAACAACACTGGAAAAACCGGCTCAATTATACGTCTAATTGAAGACTACAACGAATTATTTTCAGTTCACGAGTTACATACCGCAGGCTCATGATACAGCAACAGGACCTGATAATAATCACGATCAGCTCTTGAAACATTTGCCTGAATCGTATCTCGATATTCTTTTGAAATATTCGATCAAATATTACTAGTACGGTGGCCTAACTTTGACTGCTAATGATCTCTTATCCCTTTCTTTCTTGTATCATTAATTCATGGTTTGTTTGTTTGTTTATTATCTTTGAGCCAGCTTTCACAAACATGTGATAATCTGGTTCTTAATGTTCTTTCAGGAGAGCATTTTACACAGATTTGACAAATTATCTATGTGTGTATAAATTTGTCTAATATGGCTGTTCAAATACTATTCTACAATGTGTTCTCCCTCCTTGTCCTTGTTACACGTTACCAACACCTGTTTGAACGTGGGAGACGCAGGGAAATATGAACAGCATCCGAGTTTGTCCATGAAGGTGCTGATGTATGGTAGCCTGTACGGGTCATCTGTTGTCTCTTGAGTGTCACATGCTGCTTCTAAATTTCGCTTGGCCATGCCACGTTCCTCCCGTGTACCTGTAAGAGATGAGAATGGGTGAAGATACATTCCGCTCATGAGATAGCTTGGTAGTGACAATAACACAACTGATGGCAGGTTAAAACGTGAAACGCAAAATATACTATCATCTGTATGTACAATATTGCATATTATAATTTGGTGAAAGTACCACAAAACATTTTGCCCTTGGCGTGAAGAAGGGGTGAAGATACATTCCGATCATGAGATAGCTTGGTTGTAACATAAACGTAGTTTCATCTTGGGAATCAAGACGTAACAATATCAATGTCAGTTCTTGATCACAGAAAAGGGATGCCACGCCCGTTCGAAGACAAATGCAACAATGTTCACCTTAAATGCATATACAATATGTGTGTGCGTGTGCGTGTGTGTCTGTGTTCAAACCAATAAAGTTATCCGCATAATGAGTGTATGTGTATAGAAAAAACCCTCATGTCCAATACATAACTACCAAACGCCATCCTCAAAGGAAGAGAAGCATGTCATTGATCACGTGTCCTATATTAACCTATTTTGTCTTGTGATCACTTTAAATATACACTTAGACAACTGCGAGATTTTCGAGAGGTGAAGTTTTCAATGTTCATGTGTGATATACTGATATATATAGCAGACAATCAGTAAATCCATTTCGTCCTCGACATGGTCCAGGTCGTGCTGTTTGTTTTACAAAATCGGCACAAATTAGCATCAAGTATAGTTCCTTGTCTAGTTGGGCTTCCAATTTCAAAGGGAGACTAAAACTTCTGAGCCTTGAGTTTCTTTCCGCTTTTATCTTGTCGTTGGAATGAACAATATATTTTTGGAGAACTACACGTCATTAATCGTTTGCAGTTTCAGCGAAACGTGTTTATGAAGTAAGGAGACTATTTTGTTTTCATACAACTGTGTTGACTAAAACCCAGATGAGTGGACTATTAAAGAAGACTGGTTGAACGTGAGCACCATACTAAAATTTGGTGCAAGTACTACAAGCCATTTTAGCCGTTTAGATGAAAACATACCCTTGGCGTGATTTGCACTCTAGGGTTAGATATGATTAGTGATTATCAATAATTGGTAATTCATGTGATTATTGTCGCGGCCATGTATATACAGCCCCTAATCAATATTGGGCTTATATTTTTCGTGTAAGATATTTTCCAAGCTGATCGTTCAGTTGATGTACGATATATAGTAATATAGTGCGGGATGAAGATAAGGATGAACCTACTGTATTTTATGATCTTTAATTCAAGGAACAGCTTGGGAACACGTTCGTTTCATTGCTAGAAGAATTATGAAGTTTTCGTTGATATTTAATTCAGCGTCGTTTATATATTCGTTGTCTCAGCAATTGACTAAAAGGCAGGTTCTGATTTAACAACACTGACTAGGCTCCTGTCAGTAACATTAAGTATTCAGTGCGCCGGAATCATCGATATTTTAACTATCAAATAATGTGTTTCCCTGAGTGAAATGATGCTGACTGCGAACTACGGACTAATTATACCTGGAGCCAGATTGTCCAGGACACATCCCAAGAACATGGTCACGAACATGGGTGTCACCAGCAGCATCTCCAGTAACTGATCGAGTACTTCGTTGCCTGGCAACACAAAGATATATCTGATGGAACAGCTGACAGAATTAAACATGAAACTGGAAGACAGGGTGAACTTGTGTCTCGGAATCAAGATGTCACGTTACAGTGCTACATGTTTTCCTACGGATCCGTGAAGCAATAATCCCGACAACAGCAAAGAATAGTTCCTTTGTCAAGTCCATCTCACCCATCAAAGATATCCTAGTCGTTGCTTCTGAAATCGCCAATGTTTGTCTTGCGAGACTGAAGCAGAAAGTATCAAGAATACCCGGTCGTAACGATGATGCCCACTGGGTATTACCATAAAAATACTCCTTTGATCCGTGACTTGGCTGTTGCCGTAAGGTATTATATTCTTACGTCTCATTCTCATTCTCATATCGCCTTCAACACGAACCTTCAAACACAACGCTTAGTACGTGGCGGGTTGATATCTGACAAACATACCCAACCAAGCTACTTCTCGGGTAGATGAGACAATACCTGTATTGATAGCGTTTTCGTTAGCGGCCATCCAGTCTGGCAGGAGGAGACCCAGAGAGAGCGATATCCCCAGGATTAGGAGGTTCCTGGAGGAAGACAGGTCGACTGCATTCAACATAGACACGCCCACTGCCGTCACTGTGCTCACTGCCACAAAGTTGACCCCGCCAACTACTGGGTCGGGGATGATTGTGAACACCGCCCCAACCTTGCCTACGACGCCCCCTATCATCAGAATCAAGGCCGCTGTCACAAACACACTCCGACTCGCAACCTGTAGATCAGAAAACGCTGTACATGTTTTAGAAAGAGCTAAGTGAACAGTTGTAATTAATATTTTCCTTGATATGTTTTTGAATCCAGCTCACAACTTGAGTCCTTGTCGTCTACATACTTGACTATATAAATCATTAGTGGTATCAGGTATGTCAAAGTTACATGGTCTGAAATTGTGTCGTGACTGAGTTCTGGACAGAGGTGCCACCGATCATGACTGTCTCTGTTTATGTGCCAGAACAGAGTCAGTGTGTAGTGAGTTTGGCGAATTACTGACTGCTATAGATTGGTGTTCACACTGTTACGATATGGTGTGGAATGGTGCTTTCATTGCTATTCAGAAGAAAAGATCTGTGTTCACATTTGTAACTACTGGTGTGGATGGGTGCTTACATTTCAATCACTGAATGTGATACGTGTTAAAACGTAAATTATTGTTGGTTGTGCCTCTTATTGTCAAACAATGGTTTATATCAGTGTTAACACTGTTAGCCTCTGGTTTTGATGTGTCATTTGCCAGAGAGATTGCCCAAGATGGGTGCAATGGTCCTTGACGCATTAATCAAAGAACAGCTAGAACCATGACTGTAAGAAATTCCCAAATCTACTTTTATCCTGTAATGTGATCAATACCAACTAGTGTGAATGACTCCCACACTACAAACCACTGATTTGCCAGACACATACTGTGTCACTTGTAAATGAAATCCACTCTTCAACTCACCTTAGTGACAGTGACCACCCCAAGGCTCTGTATGTACAAGATGCTTGAATACACCCCACCCAGCATGCCGCTGATTACAGAGCTTATACCGTCCACGGCTATCCCTCTATTCAAGGCGTGGGCCGGAGGGGGAGGTAACTCTACTACACTGGCCGTTGCAGAGTAAAAGCCTGGTACCTGGATGATCGTAACTATGGTGATGATAAACATGGCCGTGAAACCCGAGGAGCTTATGGTCGGTGTTCCGAACTGAACTGGAAAAAATATGAGTCGTTTGTTAGCACTGCTGTAAATGGTTCGATTCCACAATCTTTTCCGATAATGACCGTCGATTCCCACGATTGAGACTTGCGATTTTAACTGAAACATCTTAGAGAGAATAAGGTGCCTTTTTGCTGTTGCTGCTTCAAGGATGTCGATCATAACAAATGCATGCAAAGGCAAGTCAATTGTTCACATGGGAAAACACTGGAACATGTGGTACAAATCAAAATAGGAAATTGCATCATTTTTGTCACTTCTGCTTCAAATTTGGACAATCATCCTTAAGTCTACCACGACATATTTAAATACTATTCTGGGGTCTAGAATGATGTAACTTTGTTAAAACTACTTTAAAACACCCCGGGATAAATCTGGTCCGCAGCAGTCCATACCAGTTTGAGGCCGTTACTCGGTAATTTGGTTGATTGTGTGTCATCAAACTCGAGGACCGATGTTCACTAAATTACTCACTATGTTTGCTGACTCTTTTATTTACATATATTTGCCTATAGCGGGGGTGTTGCTGCGCTAAATATATCCATTAAGGAATAGTATATATTCTGTATATCTAGTAAAAATGACTAAATAAGGTTAACTTCATGTTTCAATGTAAACACTATAAGATAATTCCGGCTGAAGAGCAAAGGTTTTACCAAACTGGAGCTTACATGGCAGAGGGAAATAGAACCACGGAGCATTGTAGAGGGCGCTTGTTCTGACGTCAGTTCTAGCCATGTAACCATGGACAGTGGAGTTGCTAGACAACACATCTGTGACCGTTAGCACATGACACAAACACCAAGACAGTCCGATTGCCAGAACCACCTGAAGACAGAAACAGTTTGATTAACAATTAACCTTACAGCAGAAAAGGATTGGATCTATAGGAGGCAATGAATAGACAGCGTTAGTCAGACACATTCGTGGTAACCACATTCGTCAACCATTTTCAACAGCATATTAAAACAAATGTTTTGAGACTTTGATGAATCAATACACGATGAGGCATAAGGTATATATAGTGAAGTTAAAGCAAGTTAACCTCACTGGTCATAAGCTTTATACTCACAGCATTCAGCTGAAACAGCGGATAGTGAGTCACGTGACATTTCTTCTTCCTGTTGTAGCCAGGAAAGGGAATACTGACCTTCGCCAGAAACATGGAAAACACCAGGACGAGCACGATCGATCTGCGAAGACACCGGACATGAATATGTGTCAAGTGTTGAACATCTACTACCTGACTACTTACAAGCTCGATATTCCCCAGTGTTGTTCACACGGTGGTATCATGTACTACCGGTCTACATACAAGCTGACTATTCCCCAGTGTTGTTCACACAGCGGCATCGTGTACTACCTGACTACTTACAAGCTCGATATTCCCCAGTGTTGTTCACACGGTGGTATCATGTACTACCTGTCTACTTACAAGCTGGATATTCCCCAGTGTTGTTCACACGGTGGTTTCATGTACTACCTGTCTACTTACAAGCTGGCTATTCCCCAGTGTTGTTCACACAGCGGCATCGTGTACTACCTGACTACTTACAAGCTGGCTATTCCCCAGTGTTGTTCACACGGTGGCATCATGTACTACCTGTCTACTTACAAGCTGGCTATTCCCCAGTGTTGTTCACACAGCGGCATCGTGTACTACCTGACTACTTACAAGCTGGATATTCCCCAGTGTTGTTCACACGGTGGTATCATGTGCTACCTGTCTACTTACAAGATGGCTATTCCCCAGTGTTGTTCACACAGCGGTATCATGCACTACCTGTCTACTTACAAGCTGGCTATTCCCCAGTGTTGTTCACACACCGGTATCATGTACTACCTGTCTACTTACAAGCTGGCTATTCCCCAGTGTTGTTCCCACGGTGGTATCATTTACTACCTGACTACTTACAAGCTGGCTATTCCCCAGTGTTGTTCACACAGCGGTATAACGTAACGACATAGCGTTAATCCGAGGACAAGTACAGTTGGAGCCACTGTCAGAGGACCGATGAACCTTAGGAGGAAGCCCAGAATTCCCGTTATTCCCAGAAGGAACTGAACCCCTGAGGCCAGCATTAGGTCACCCTGGATCTAATGTATAATAAATGGTAATTAGTCCCATTGTTTCACTAGATTTATTCTAAATTGTGGGTTTTGTTTGTCTGATGTTAAAACAGTTTGTTTTTGTGTGTATCACAAGTTAATTTCACATGGAAATGACAAAGTTTACTTAGGCTTTAGTTTTTGTGTTCCTATTGGTGTAAATAGATACACGCGCAAGAAAACACGCACATACGCAAACGTAAATATTCTCTTCTTGAAAAAGTGCACTTGACGATAATGATCGTTGGGCATACATACTTTGAAAAACTGAATGAAGTGCTTTTACAATATAAACATATCGCCTTAACTAAAGTTTAACGAAGCAAGGAAGATACAATCTTTTACCTCTCTCATTCGGATCTTCCAGTTGGTAGATGAGGTGACATTGGCAGATCCATCCATGCCCAGAGATTCTGTTGTGAGAGATGGCAAATAAACAAATCAACGGTATGTATGTAAGGACAAGGACCTTATGCTTGGAGCGGAGGGTCCGGTGTACAATTCAAATACCCCAAAATACGTCACAACATGGTACCTGTTACTCTGGCGCTTTTTTATAAGGTTTAGACGGCTTTGATGCACCGCACATCCTTTTCGTCAGTAAAGAGTAAATTTGGAAATGCCCTCCATATCTCTGCTATAAAACGTTTTGAAATCTTAGCTATGGCCTTGAATGCTGTAACCCTATTTGAAAGATTGACGCTCTTCTAAATGACACCGGATATAATATCCACGAATCCACGACTTCTCTCAGTTTCCTCCCATTTCCTTTTACGTATGCTTCTTGTCTTACTCTTCACCCGATGAGTCGAGTCTGGACCATATAATCCTGTGATCAACTGCGTGATCATTGCTCTGCGCAATTGGAATATGATGACATGAGTCAACCGAATCAGCAAGCCTGACCACCCAATCCTGTTAGTTGACTCTTACGCGAGTGAGTGAGTGAGTTACGTTTTACACCACACTCAGCAATATTCCAGCTATATGACAGCGGTCTGTAAATAATCGAGTCTGGACCAGACAATCCAGTAATCAACAACACTAACATCGATCTACGCAATTGGGAAACGATGATATGTGTCAACCAAGTCAGCGATCCTGACCACCCGATCCGTTAGTCGCCTCTTACGACAAGCATGGTTTACTGAAGATCAATTCTAACCTGGATCTTCACGGATCTGCCTCTTACGCCAAGCATGGGTTGTTGGAAAGCAATTCTAACCCGGATCTTTACGGATCTGCCTTTTACGCCAAGCATGGGTTGCTGGAGAGCAATTCTAACCCGGATCTTTACGGATCTTCCTCTTACGCCAAGCATGGGTTGCTGGAGAGCAATTCTAACCCGGATCTTTACGGATCTGCCTTTTAGACCAAGCATGGGTTGCTGGAAAGCAATTCTAACCCGGATCTTTACGGGTGGGAAAGGAAGTACCCACCCTGTGGTTATTTAAGGATATCAGGTCATCGATATACCTGAAGTTCAGTTTTAACTGCTTCAACAAATTGTTTTGTGTTGCCTTTCCGAACAGAAATTCGAGACATAAAGCACTATAAATATTCTATGTAGTCTTTCTCTACCTACCATCACTCCATTTTGGGGCATTGAGAATGGCAGCTATTGCAATCAGATATGACGTGTTAGGACCGTGAATGACCGGTAATCTACAACACAATGGTCATTTTATTGAACTAAAAATCTAAAACACATCAATGAGACTCTGGTTCGCTTAATGATAAACAAAATTACCGGAACAACCAGATTTTGCATACACATCTCTGAATTCGTCGAAACTTGGTGACCTCTCCCAAATTAAGGAGAGCACAGGGTGGGAGTTACTTTACAGCGCTAACAATCGCTTTGAGCCCGAAGGCCGTGCTGGTCTATGTTGTGAGAACGTAAGTACATTGCGGGATGACTTGGCCCGAAATACCACTGGCTCAACGAAGCACGAAACTGGGTTGCATAAATGCGATTCAGGCCAAAGGTGGTCACAAGAAAGAAAGTCCTGACGTTAACGCTGCCATATCCAGTGTGTGTGAACGTTTGTGTGACATTTACGTTTGTCAGACTTGGGAAGTCTGACGAAGTCATGGGAAGTCTGACGTAAGAAATACCAATTGAAATACAGACGACGTGTGTAAATATTTTCTCCTGTGGGTTTCTTTTTGGCGCTTTACACTTAACTACAACAAGATAAAAACGCCGCGTGTAGCATCTTTTCATTCCAGTGAAAAATGTGGAGGTGCTTTTGACATTTGGTTTGAGTTTGCGAAGGGGAATACATGTATGTATCTTTTCAAGCATTTCATTTTCAGACATATGCTTATCCAGGTTTTTTAGCTGACTTGCGTTGCGAGTGTTCGTTAGGGGTGCTGTTATTGTAATTAGATAACAATCGTGTTTCAAGATTTGCTTTTCGCATCCAAAATATTTACCATTGAGAATTGGGTTTAAATTTTCCGAAATTGGCATCATCCACCAGAAAAATATCTGAGGCAATTTTTTTAACTCTTACCAAATAGTCTAGTTTCGTTTCTATATTTCCAGTATGCTATTGATATGAAACAAAACATTTCTTAAAAAGAATTAAATTGGTTTGATGAAGTCAAATATACTCATGGAAACGAATTAGGGAACATATGAAAGTACAAGTGTTCCTTCATTTATTTCCACAATTTCACCCACAGTGCAATACAAGTACTTTCATGTGTTCCCTTATTTGTTTCGATGAGTATATATACTAGTTCAACACCACATGCACTTGATGAATTTGCTGCAATGCAGCTGAAGGCTTAGCTTCACTTGATATCGACAAATTCTGATCAAATGTTGTGGTTGAAGTCACATTGGCAGTGTTTCAGCTATATCTTGACTATGAGAGTTGTAGAATGATAAAATCAAACTTTGACAAAAATCAATACCTGTCGACAAACAACAGTTAAAAAACTAGACTTTCACAGCTTTCAAATGTTGTAAGTTTGATTTCAACTCAGAGTGTAAGAAATAGGAATTGTTTGTTGGCAGCGTATTCGCTTATAATGATCTCAAGGGAAATTAAATATACTGAAGCCTAGAAAGATTAAATTTTCAAATATTCGCATTTAGCCATAATTTGTTGTACGCTCTACATACCGACACCCTATGCAGACCTGCAATAAACTGGCAACGCCACTTGTAAAAAGGAACAGACTCAGAATCTGGGACCTCACTTCCGTTAAATGACCAGCTCCGATCTGATTGGCGAGGAGGACTGCACTGCCCAATGCACCGGAAATGCTGACAATAGCTTCCTGAACAGAAATGATACAAGGTCAGACAGAGCTATGTACCAGTGGTATCAACTTTTGGTGTCGCTTTGTACTGGATTTGAAAATGATCTTGCTACTGGCCAATTTGAAAAATATTATATGTTTCAAATGCTCATTGCTCTCGCTCACGCTCGGGCAGTACAACATTTCACACTCGTTTCGTGTAAGTCGTATGACACACTTGTTCGTGTAATCATCTCTATGGATGTCATGCATTTTAGATACGAGACAATACGATTTGGGGGGTATTTTACTAACACAGACCCAAACTATGTACTTCTAAACAAGTGGAACGGCGCTAAGGTTACATTTTCATTCTATTTTTCTCAGTTATCCTATTGTACACTGGACTGGGTTGATAACGATGTAAACAAATGTGTAATGATATTTGTATTTAACTTGCCCATATTTCATTAAAATATAATCAGGAAAAGGTCACTAATCTGCTACAGACAATTGAAATCATATCTCATTCTCAACTGCGATATTCTCTCTAGCGGCCATATGTCTAGAAAATATGACAGTGGCCATAATGTGTACTATAACATTGAAAACTATCACAGAATGAACATAACTTGGCTTACTATGAAATACACCAGTCTAACAATATTTTAGAAACATATAATGTGACTGAAGATGACACAAACATACAGTGCGATGAGAGAGAACAAAATAAAACTTTAATGAAAGCAAATATGCAACCTCGATTATCCAACGAAACAGATTCCATTGTTTTAATAGGCAAAAAAAGGTTGGAAATTATACGAATGGATCACTGAATAGGATTAATGACACCAAGAGTTGTCCTCGGCGCCTCTGGCATCCGCTCTGAACAAACAACAATCCAGGCCTTGGGTGTACATTACTATCCAAAGGTACAGACACTGTGTCTTCATCAAACATTAAGGCAGTCTTAAAAAATGTGTTAGTTTTTTTATAACGTCGTATAAGCTGCATAAAGTCAAATCTGTCATTTTGTATTCGGAGGTCACAGTATGACATTGCCGACGTGACTATTCATTGAGTTGCATTTGCCACAAAGACTGTGACGAGTATCTCATGCAAGTAGTCTTCCAGGTGAACAGCCTTCACATTTCCTGTCATAAGGGGGATAGGTAGACGACTTAATAAATCTGGTATTATTAATCCATGTTTTAACCATAATGAGTCTGACCATATTTCTACAATAAAACACAGCTACCTTGTGTCCTTTGGGGTATGTAAAATATAGGTAGTTCAACACCATAAACAATACATCGAGGGGTTTGAATTAACGAGGTACCTTGCGCTTGTGCATAGACGTAGTTCGAGTAACAATTTTTATTAGTGTTATAATATTGACCTGCATATCCACTATCTTGTCACTGGATTTTCTAGTTAATGCCATGTTGAAGTTGTTTGATGTCCATCAACAATTATCCTGTTCTAGGTGGTCAGGGATCAGAAATATATTTTGTTTTAAAAAGTGTCACTAGTGGCAGATGCTCGAGGAGGAGGATTGCTTACCGTTATTGAGAACGCCTGATGTCACTCATATTCAGCGATCCATACATATTTTCACTGCTAATTTGCCTTTGTATATTCTTCTTACAACTCGGCTAAGATGAAGACACAAACATACATACCTGTAATCCATGCAGCGGGAGAAAGATGAGGGAAGGCGATTTATCCACTGGGTAAAGAAACGTTTCTTGTCTAATTTCTAACTGGATCTCTGAGTTCTCTTCTCCAGACGTCCGAGGTGCTGTCCTTGTGTCCGCCATGTTCTGCGGTAACATGTTGACTGTCATGCCTTGTGTGCGACACACGTTATATATAGCTAGCTACTATGGAGTAAGCAGCATCTGAGTTCATTCGCAAGACTAGAGCGGATTGAGCATGATGATTGAGCGTTGTTCAAGAGATTGATTTCTGTACAAAGCCATCGCAATTCACAACTAATCAGGGGCGGTGGGCTAGCCTAGTGGTTAAAGCGTTCGCTCGTCACGCCGAAGACCCGGGTTCGATTCCCCACATGGATACAATGTGTGAAGCCCATTTCCGCCGTGATATTGCTGGAATATTGCTAAAAGCGGCGTAAAACTAAACTCTCTCCCTCACAACTGATCATTAGTTATGTTTAGTTTTAGTTATTGAAAAACAGCAAATGCACCGTGTCACTGGATGTTCTGATTTATCACTTGCCTGATAAGAAAAGTAACTTTATGGATGACAACTCCTATATTATACTGTGATCCGAAGTTTCGGTGTAGGCTATTATACTATTGTCAAACAAACCTCAGCAAACAGGCATGTTGTGTTACAGGTGATGAAGAAGACGTACGGCGCTAACTTTACCCTAATATTTCAATTCATCAAAATCACTATTTAATCCAAAATACTAGATGTCATATTTCAAATATAGGTTTTGTATTTACATTAATATTTAATTTGCCAATTAGAGACACATTTATACATTTCTTTCTTAAGATAAAGTTAGTCACTTGCTGTCCACGAAGCTGACCGTCACAAATCAGTAACTCTGACTTATGCAACTCTGTTAGGGTTATGCCCCAGGTGGCAGAATGCTCGGCATGGCCGGACGCGTTATCATTGTAAATAGATAAGATCAGATACGTCGTAATCTAAATGATTTTAAGTGGTCTGTACACTTACTCACTCCGTAATTGTATAACAGTGCCAAAATTTACCTTACTTTTCTTCAAGTCTTTATCTATTTTGGATTTGTTTTACAATCTTATAATTTTACATTCTCAGTCCAGTTAAGGCACATAGTTTTCAGAACCTACACAACTATTCTCAAATCTATAACATTCAAGCTGCCAGAACCGGACTAGCGACTCTGGGAGATTAGTAAGTGTTAGGTCACTGCTCTTTGTGTCTCAAACACACAGTAATTATCAGAGTAGGTGCATTGTCGAGCTAGACCCGGCTGACCAACCCAAAATAATTAACAAAAAACACCGACCCGACCGGTTACATTCCAGCAGCGATTATGTTTTCCAATTAGCTAACTTTGCCCCAGCTTTGGCTACCCAGCTTTGTCAAACTTGCGTAATATGACCAGTGTCTCATGCGGTCTTCGACTTGCTTTCAAATTCGGATGGGAGATTCGGGTATAAATACAGGTGTAACTCGCCACTGAGTTATTCCTGTTTTGCCTGAGATCCTCTCTGTTTGTATTTGAAGGCGTGGAGATCCCGGAGCTAATTCCCCGTAACAATTCTAGGTTTAAGACAGTAGCGCAAGCTCACTGTTTCAACTGCATTGATAAAACCAGACGTTTGACGTGTTTCGGTATCAGGTATATCAGATATTCTACAAAAGGCATGAGTCCCTATATATGTCGAGTCCAGTGACAGATACTTCACTCTGCCGAGAATATCGTCGCGAATAGCTGTAACATCGCTGATGCTGCGTTGAAGGAGATACTAGAAAACTGACTAGGTTAAAGAAACATCAGAAACATGTACCCCAATTTTTAATGCAAAGTGTTATTTTTCATACTGCTATCTTAGCTTCGGCCCTTATGGATATTCCGCTAGCAAGTCCGTGACATTTTACACTCGTGACGTCATATGTGACTTAGGTCAGCCATAATGCGTAAAACCAAACGCTGTGGTTATGTAAACCGCCTCTTTCTGTCGTTTTTGTAATTGGTGAGATGGGGTTTTGTGTTGCCTGGGGTTGCACGGCGTATCGAAAAATGGAAATAGGCACCACGGACGAAGTAAATAGCTTTCGATCGACATAACCCTTACCACAGACCGTTGATCAGTTCTTATATGGAGACAAGATAAATTTTATTAATAAGAACTATTTTTTTTGCAACGAAAATAAATAATTCCTTGCAATCGTGTAACTTTTGCAGCAGACAATTTCTATTTACCCCCGTCTGAAGCATAATTATTTAAAACATTTTCTGGGACAATCCATTTGGGATTTTCTACGTAAAATAAATTCCAGACACCCTGCAGTCACCCGTTTAACACAAAATGAGCAGCAATTACAAACTTTTAAAATATTTTCTTAGGGACTGGTCATTTATTATAGGGCCGGGTATGTTGGTTGGAACTGTATCATATTTTGCTGACAAATAAAATTGCTGATAAATCAAATCGTCTAGTTTAAAAATTCTTATGACATCAAACGGTGCCTCCGTTCGCTTGATTCTTCTTCTCATCATCACTGGAAGTTTTTCTTGCAAGATGTAAAATCAGTCTAACATCCATGTCAAAAATGACATCGGGAGCGTCAGGTAAAATCAAAGAGGAAGCCATCGGCGCGAGGCACATATGACGTCATGTCCCGTGATACGCGGTACTGCTCATTAACTATCGGGTGTTTCCGTAATAGGCTGAGATTCGAGTTCGTTTTTTACGTGTTCATTGCGATTTTACAAATTTTTGGTTCAATGTTAATAATAGAAGGTGACTTTTAGAATACTTTCACACCCTATGAAAACAGAAATCACGTTAGTATTCTCCTTTAAGCAATATTCACTCACTCACTCACTGCCACGAATAAAGACTCAAAGGCACTCAGCAAATTCTTCTGTTTTAACCTGATGGTCCAAATGAGACAACGGTTCCCCAAAACGACCTGCGTCAGTTGGTTAAGCTACGTCAGTTACTTAAGATTTCTAGCATTTTGACTGAACAATAACCAATAGTGTGCATTAATTAGATCATTAATACACTACCGTCATTGATGACGGTAATCAAGTATAAAGTATACACGGAGCCTGGCATCAACACACACATTCTGAAATATATGTGCAACTGAAAGAGTTTCACATTCACAATCTTCTGTGTTTACATCAATAAAATTATTAAATTTTCTGAATTTGAAAATTCTTGTTCTAATTGATCATGTAGAACCACGCCTGCCTGAGAAAACAGCCTTGTTGTGTTGCAGGTTGACTGACTATTATGTAATATCGTTTTAATCCATGCTGGCAAAGTGTTACTTACATCATAATTCCCTATAACATAGTGATCAATCATTTGTCTACGTTTCGTATTTCACGCACGTGTGGCCATATATCAAGATTTTATTTTAACGATTTGAGTTCCCTATTTTTCATAGATTATCTTTATGTCTGAATCTATGATTTATATTCACCAACCTGCGTGGTGATGACGTTGTGTCTGCCATGATCTGCGGTAATAGTGATGTGTACTTGCATCATATGTAACCGCATCTTGTGCAAAATGGAGTAGGGTAAATATTGACAACAGCCCTCATTAACCATTCATGTTCCATTGGCGTCCAATTATATCCAGATCTTATTGAAATATTTATTTTGATGTTTGCCGATGATGTGGTGTTTTTCTCAGAGTCAGTAATTGGTCTACAGAGGCAAATTAATGCTTTAGAAACCTACTGTAATAAATGGTCCTTAAATGTTAACCTTGATAAAACTAAAATTATGATTTTTAAAAAAGGACCTAAACTATCAAAATCAGAAAAATGGACATATAAATCAGCTATGCTTGAAGTTGTTACATCGTACCAGTACCTTGGAGTATCATTTAATAGAACTCTAAATTGGTCCCTCTCTGCCAAAAACATTTCACTTAAGGCAAAGAAAGCTTTAGTGTCTATTACAAAATGCCTTTGTAGCTTTAAAGACTTGTCATATGATGTCTATTTGAAAATATTCGACTGTAAGATACTACCCATATTATTGTATGGGTCAGAATTATGGGGCTTTCACAAACATGATTGTCTGGAAAGGGTATTGCTTTATGCATGTAAACGATTCCTTGGTGTGCGAATGTCTACACCAAATACAATTGTCTTATTGCTTACTGGCTAAAGCTCCTCTCCATGCCCTCTTCACGCTACCCATTAAAAGCTTACAAAATGTTATGTAATCTAGATTTAAACGCAAGCGCCGAGCGTAATAGGTTTAATTGGGCTACACATGTAAAAACAGTTTTATTTAGATTTGGACTAGGTTATGCGTGGATATGGCAGGGTGTTGGAAATAAGCACCAATTCTTAAATTTACTTGTAAGAAGAAGCAAAGATTGCTTTATACAGGAGTGGCATGCAAAACTCCAAAATAGTCCCTGTACATTTACTTATTCCCTGTTAAAAGAAGACTTCTTGTGTGAACCATATGTACGTTGTATCAATATCAAGAAAGTAAGACTAGCCTTATCACAGTTTCGTTCCGTTTATTATGATTTAAGTTGTTATAAGGGAAAATTTCATAAGAAATCTACTGTGTGCAGATACTGTAAAATGAATGTCTTGGAAGATGAATACCATGTTCTGCTAATTTGTGATTATTATAGAAACATTAGAAGCAAATATATACCCAGTTACTTTACGAAACAACCGTCAAAACATAAATTCATCAAACTGTTGTCAACTTCTAATCGTATATTGATTGAAAATATAGCTTTGTTCATATACCATGCGATATTGAAGAGAAACCCACTCTGCTTTTGAACTTTGTATATACCTGTACTATGGGCGGGCCTGTGGCCTTCAGTTCTGAATAAAGATTGATTGATACAAACAGCCCTCATGTAGTATAATCTGTACAAGATCTGGTGGAACCATGACTGACAGTGTAGATTTCGTCTCTGTGCTCTAAATATAAGCTCCAGATTTACCTGCTGATGAAACTGACCCGGGTGTTACATGATATTAGACTAATCTAACTAATGTGCATTTTCCCATAAAAACACCACAAGTGGTTCAAGGGCAAATTATAAAACAGATCGCGCTACGACTCGAGCAAGAGGTTGCTTTACCAG